GCAAAGCAGGTATGGTAAGCAGGTATATGAAGGTATTTATATAAAAAAAACGATAAACATGAATGTGTCATGATATCCCAATGTGACAATCATATTATTATAGCAGTGTTGTTGCAGACAAGGTGATACAACTCAACCTCAATTTGAGCCTGTTCTTTTTTTAACGATCTGATTTTTATGCGTTGATAATCGTTCTTTCCCTCCTGCACACCCAGCGGTAAACACCGGCGCACACACTTGATTTCCTCGCCTGCTTTGATTCTGATTAACACACCGTCTCAGTGAGCTGTGCGAGACGAAGCCCACTGAGAGCATGTCGAGGATTAGCTCCGACATGTTGGACTAATACAGAGGAGTGAATGGCTCGGTGGTGTGTGTGTGTGTGTGAGCTCTGTGTGAGACATGTCTTTTATTGATGGAACCATTTCCACAGTCGCATGTGTGATACTGATCGCTCTGGACACATTTCCCACCTCTTATCTTCTGCGCCGCTGGGAAAATAAATGGAATCTAAAGCACTCTTTATCAAAGCAAAGCAAGAATGGTTCGTTCAGAACAAACACTGGAGCTTATAGAGCTGACTGGAAACATTTCCTGTTGAGCCACAGCAGCAGGAGAGAGTGAGGGGTGGAAGTACGGAAGGCCAAAAGGGTCATAATTAACATATTTATTGCCCACCACTGAAAGGTGGGTGATAATGTTTTTTCCTGAGTCTGTGCATTCGTTTTTTTGTCCTGTTAGCAAAATATCTCATGAAACACTGCAGTGTTTCCCCTACTATTATACAAACAGGGTGTCCCGCCCTGTCAACACTACCGAGCTCCCTGTCTATGACACCCCTGATCTCCCCCCCCACCCCATAGACAACTATCGGTATTGATGTAGTGTGGGGCACAATACATACGCGCTAGCAAAAATGCTACTGACGTACCGCTCCGCTACCCATACCCACCCCGTCGACAATTAGCAACAACAGCGTAGCGCTAAACACATTTGTGACCCTCCCAGATAAAAACCGGCAGCAACGTGGCTTTAAGCTAGCAGGCGATCAATACAGACGTGACCCTGTCCCATCCTCCCCCACCCCATCTCCGTCGACAAAAAAAAAGATGAGCGCCCCCGCCAAGGGAGCTGATCTAATGGAAACACTGCACTGCACAGATTTTAATGAAACTAACAGAACAAAATCAGTGGATGTACTTGTACATCCAAAAACTATTATCATACAAGAGTCAACTTGATTCAAGATGGCTGCCACAGCTGACTGTACATAGCAAGCAGCTGGTGAGAACTGAGAGGGATTTCGAACTTAAACTTTAAGAGCTGACTGATTGAGCAAGAAATGTTTTTAACACTTTGCCATTAACTGTTGGAGTCAGTCCTGTCTGTTAGCAAAATATCTGCTGAACCACTGAACAAATTAATAAAACTCTCAAAGTAATCATTGGTTGGATCTCTACAACTGATTGGAGTCAACCCAATTCAAGAGCCAGTGCGCTTCACAAGAGCTTTTGGAAGTACAGTAGTCCCTCGATTATCGTTGGGGTTACGTTCCAGACACCATCGTGATAGGCAGAAAACCGCGACGTAGGAATGCTATATTTATTTTATATTTTAAGGTTTTATAAACCCTTCCTTTAAGCTTGAAATATTCTTAACCATGTTCTAAACTCTTAAACGTACGTAATTTTAACAACATACGTATATGTACTGTACAGTACTGCAAAAATTTGTAAGTGTACTCACCAGTGACTGTACTACTACAACTTGAAGGATGAGTTCAACTTCAGGATTATTTGCGACTTTCCTGCCAGTTCTGTGAGCTCAATAGAAAGATCGTTACTTCTGACTTTGCGTTGCAAAACCATTTTTACCACATCGGTTTCTCCGCTAGTATTTGCTCCCTCCGTTGCTGTTCTTTGAATTTCGGCAGAAAGCGGCGTCCGGTTGGCTTCTGGGCCGTGTAGTTCTTTTGACTTGTGTAGCTTATTGAAAGAAAACTTTCCGAAGTATTTATTTTTTTGGTTTGTTTGTTTGTTTTGTTTTTCATATGAGTAATATTCAAATTGACAATCGGGTGTCATGTACAATTTTACGTTGAAAACTCGCAAAAGAGCGAGTCCGCAAATGTCGAACCGCGAAGTATCAAGGGCCTACTGTAGTTGAAAACTGCCTTTTTTTACGTGTTCATCCGTGGACTATGATGTTTGCAGATGACATTGTGATCTGTGGTGAGAACAGGGAACAGGTGGAAGAGAACTCGGAGAGGTGGAGATATGCACTTGAAAGAAGAGGAATGAAAGTCAGCCATAATAAGACAGAGTACATGTATGTGAATGAGAGGGAGGAGGTGGAACAGTGAGGCTACAACAAGCAGAGGTCACAAAGGTGCAGGACTTCTAGTACTTGGGGTCCACTGTCCAGGAAAATGGGGAATGTGGTAAAGAAGTGAAAAAGAGAGTCCAGGCAGGATGGAGTGGATGGAGAAAAGTTTCAGGGATGATTTGTGACAAAAAGGTGTCAGCAAAAGTTGAAGGAAAATTTTACAAGACAGTGGTGAGACCAGCTATGTTGTATGGTCTGGAGACAGTGGCACTGACAAAAAGACAGGAGAAAGAACTGGAAATGGCAGAAATGAAGATGTTGAGGTTCTCCTTAGGAGTGACAAGGATGGATAAGATTAGGAATGAGATCATCAGACGTACAGCACACGTTGAACAACTGGGAGATAAAGTTAGAGAGACCAGACTGAGATGGTTTGGACATGTCCAGAGGAGGGACAGTGGGTATATTGGTAGAAGGATGTTAGAAATGCAGCTGCCAGGAAAAAGACAAAGAGGAGATACATGGATGCAGTTAGAGAGAACATGGAGATGGAGTAAGGACAGAGGATGCAGTGGACAGAGTGAGGTGGAGGAGAATAACTTGCTGTGACCGCTGAAGAGGGAAAAGCCGAAAGAAGAAGATCTTTGGGTAAGACTGAAAGTAAAGCGCTTGTATCTCAGCTGTGATTGTTTCTTCTTTACGTTGTGTGCTTGAATAAAGTGCTTGTAAGAATCATATTTCCAGGAACTTTAGATTAAGTGACCACCACTCGGGTTAGAGTTCTGACTCCAGGCTTTTACACAGTAAATGAAAAATACCATTATTAAGATGTCATATTACTTTAACGCAGCGTGCTGTCCGAACAGCTTCATTTAGCCTCAGCACGATGAAGTGTTGCTCTTCGGCTCGCCACTTTACACTAATGCAGGAGGATTCAGGCGTGCACTTTAGAGCCCCCCCCTCACACCGATGTCTTTGCCGTACACGTGCCTTTAGTCCCTGTTCGGATGGAAACAGTCGCCTGGAGGAGTCTGCGGCCGCGGCTCCTTCCATCTGTGGCCCAGCAATGAACCCTTTTTCAAAGTCACTCAGATCTTTTCCTCTTTCCTTTCTCAAACTAAATGAACTGGAGTGATCAGCGTGTTTATGAATGTCAGAGCGTGATTGGATGGTAACCACCAAAACGACCTTCAGTTGTGTTACTGATGCCGTTTTTATTCCTAATTTAAAAATTTAGCGTTCACTTTTGCTTAGTTTCAAGTTGTAAACATTTAGCTAATTTTGTGTTTTTAAATTGTTTATTAAAAATGGGATAACGTACATGAACGGACAAGGATACACCCTGAGATTTAGCTCTGTGTTTATTTTCATTCGCAGTAGGTGTTTGGATTTTCACTGGCCGAGCAGCGCTGCTTTGTCGAGACTTCTTCTGGAAGCTCGAGGACTCTTGATTAGTTAGACGATGGAAAGAGAAACAATTCTGCGGCTGATAAGAGCCGAAAGGCTGGGCAATCCAAACGCTCAGATTGTACCGTTTAACGTTGTAGTCTGACAGCTCTTTTGCCAACAATCACAGCTCCGTCTAGATGAGCCGTGTGTGATTTTACTCTGAACTGAAACTAAACAAGCGAGGTCATTTTAAACTATTTCATTGTATCAAATTACACTGTTAAAAACAAAAGTCAGTGTTTTCACCCGCATCACTTTGTGTATCTATTAGAAACACTCAGTGACATATACAGTATGTCACTGTGTCCACCACTGTGTCCATCACTGTGTCCATAACTGTGCCCATCACTGTCTACCAGTGTGTTCAACACTGTGTCCACCACTGTGTCCATCACTGTCTACCAGTGTGTCC